AGGTTCTCCAGGCACTCCAGGAACACCAGGTAGTCCAAGCTCTCCGGGATATCCGGGAAGACCAGGTACTCCAGGCACTCCAGGAACACCAGGTTCTTCAGGAACGCCAGGTTCTCCGGGTAGTCCAAGCTCTCCGGGATATCCAGGGAGACCAGGTTATCCAGGCACTCCAGGAACACCAGGTAGTCCAAGCTCTCCGGGGAGACCTAGTTCTCCGGGCACTCCCGGTGCACCTGGTAGTTCAAGCTCTCCAGGATATCCAGGAACACCAGGTTCTTCAGGCACTCCAGGTTCACCGGGTTCTCCAGGAACACCAGGTTCTCCGGGCACTCCTGGTTCTTCAGGATATCCAGGATATCCGGGTTCTCCAGGCACTCCAGGAACACCAGGTTCTTCAGGCACTCCAACTTCACCGAGTAGTCCTGGTTTCCCTGGACACCCAGGAACACCAGGCTCTCCAGGGACTCCAGGAGCACCAGGCTCTTCAGGAACTCCAGGAGCGCCAGGTTCTCCAGGCACTCCAGGTTCACCGGGTAGTCCTGGCTCTCCGGGATATCCAGGAACACCAGGCTCTCCAGGCACTCCAGGTTCACCAGGTAGTCCAGGCTCTCCGGATATCCAGGAACGCCAGGTTCTCCAGGAACACCAGGCTCTCCAGGATATCCAGGAGCACCAAGTTCTCCAGGAACACCAGGTTCTCCAGGCACTCCAGGTTCACCTGGAAGCCCTGGCTCTCCGGGATATCCAGGAACACCAAGCTCTTCAGGAACTCCAGGAACACCAGGTTCTCCAGGTACTCCAGGTTCTCCGGGCACTCCTGGTTCTTCAGGATATCCGGGATATCCGGGTGCTCCTGGAACTCCAGACTCGTCATCTTCCTCTGGAAATCAACCATCGACAGGTATAATAATTTAGAAACCCGTAAGGACTAAAGTTTCACTATTAATATATATAAAATCTTATTTTAGGTCTTTGTACAGCAGAAGGCTTTTTCGCTGATCCACAAGATTGTCGCAAGTTTTATCGGTGTGTCGATGATGGCATGTCATCCTTCACGAAATACCACTTTCAATGTGGTGTTGGAACTGTCTGGGATTCGTCCATTCAAAGTTGTAATCATGCTTATGCTGTACCATATTGCAATCAAGCAAGTCCTGCAACTACAGACGAGCCCGACACATCGCTGAATGAAGTAGATAGTACCAATGGGCCAGATACAAGCAAACTACCATCGCAATCTTCTGAAAGACCCTTCCCACCGACATCTTTAAAACCAGAGATACAACCTTCGACTCAAGCTGTTAGCACTATGAGCAACCCTGCTGCACCATCTCAAACAACGTCGACTTCTTATTTACCACCCAGTAGTACATACTCACCTTCAACAGTGCAAGTTACTGAATCCGTTTCTTATGCTCCTCCTGCAACACAAATGACTACTACGTCTACATCTTACTTGCCACCCTCAACTACAACTAGTGTAATATCTGGATCTACATCTGAGTCTGTTTCATATTTGCCACCCGAGACTAGTACAAAGTCTACAACTACTTCGCCAAGTTTTGTATCACCTACTGCCTCTTCGCCTCAGACTGGAAAATCTGAGTGTACTGAAGAAGGTTTCTTCCCGGATCGTGATAGCTGCAAAAAATTCTATCGCTGTGTGCAAGGTCAAAATGGTTATCAAAAGTACGAATTTGAGTGCGGTCCTGGTACAGCATGGGATCAATCAATACAGACGTGTAATCATATAGAGAAGGTAACTTCATGTTCAACAGTCAGCAATGAAGTCGATCAAGGCCATGGTCCCGATACATCCGATTCTACATCTCAACTTCCCGCCATGAGTAGTTCTACAACTACTTCTAGTCAAACCATTGCGACCACTTCATCATCCCCAGTTCCAATTTCTACCGAAAGTGTTACAACCGCCAGTACAGCTCCAAGTGAAATGTCTACCGAATCAGCTACATCAGAGGTAGATAAAACAGAGTCATCGACAACAACTACTATCACACCTATTAGTACTAGCAAAAGTCCTACTTCAAAAAAACCAGAAGAGATTCAAATGCCTGGAAGCTCCAGTACAGAAAGTTCGCCCGAATCCTCGTCTGAATCCTCGTCTACTTCTGAATCATCTACTACTGAGTCACACGGACCAGATTGTGCGACAAAAAAACCGAGTAGTGCAATAATATGCAACGACGAAGGGTTTTATCCGAATCCAACTAGATGTGACAAATTCTATCGCTGCGTTAATAATGGAAATGGCTTCAACGTATATCACTTTGACTGCCCACCAGGCACTATTTTTGATTCTAGCATCAATGTATGTAATTATCCCGAATCTGTTTATCCCGCGAGAGATTGTACGACTGGAAATATTACTTCAAGCAACGTGGAATCTACAACTCAATCCGGAACACCTGAGCAATCGACATCAGTGGAAACTACGACCGTAAGCACAGCTCAGCAAACAGAAGAAAGCACGACCGCATCCACAGAGCTTGGTACGACGACTTCATCCATGGAGACTACTTCAGAAGAAAGCGCCACTGCTTCCGGTACAGAATCAACGACATCAAATATGCCAGAGAGTACCGAAAGTATGACAGAGTCTACGACCACCACAGAAGCCGCTATCGATTCTAGCACCTCTGAACAGACTAGCGAAGCCACAACCGAAGCTACTGCTTCCACAGAGTCCGGAATGCCTACGACCGAGTCTCAAGAACAGTCTACAACAGAATCTCAGGAACAATCAACGACTGAATCCCAGGAACAATCAACGACTGAATCCCAGGAACAATCAACAACTGAATCTCAAGAACACTCGACGACTGAATCACAAGAGCAATCAACAGAGTCAAAAGAACCATCCAGTACCGAAGCTCAAGAGCATTCAACGACCGAATCGCAGGAACAGTCAACGACAGAATCGCAGGAACAGTCTACGACAGAATCTCAGGAACAAACGACGACTGAGTTATCGGAGCCGACACCAGCAGAACCAGGAGCGGCGCCTTGCACTATAGGCAATTTGACCGACGAGCAAGTCACTCTAGTTTGTCCCTCTGGTTTCCGAAGGCATCCGAAATATTGCAATCTATTCTATCAGTGTACTTCCGAGGGCAACATGGAAATCAAGATCCTCGTATTGAGTTGTCCCGAGAATACAATCTTTGATGAGAAAAAGATTCAATGTCTACCCGCAAGTAAAAGTAGTCAGCCATGTATGGGCACTAGAGCAAGCGCCAGATTTTACAGAAGATTGGAAGGCCATGCGTCATCACCTGTAAGTATTTTAATCAAATACATAAATTTGTAAAATATCTGAAAATATCCATTGCAAAACATTCTTTTAATTTTAGGTAAAGGTATCGTCGAATCAGCTTTGTCCGGAAGAGGGACATTTTCCTTATCGGCAAGGTTGCAGCAATACCTTCTACAAGTGTAAACGCGATACCCGAAACAGTTTACAGGGATACCTATATAAATGTCCCGAGGACTTCGTTTATTGGTCGGTCTCCAGAAGATGCGAACGAGTGACACGTCTTCCCATGTGTTCGCGTTCGTCGTACAGGAACAAAATCGATTGGAATAATCGATGGCAAGTGCCAACCGAAGATTTTAATCTTTCCGCTAGAATGTTACGCTTCTCTTGATTGCTTGATGACACCGCCTATTTTTAAGCTCTTAATGAGTTGTAAATTTGCCATAAATGTTTCACCTGTGCCTTTGGATTAATTACTATCTTTGATGGAGATTTGAAATACTCGTAATTGAACATTGTAAGAGAATTGGAGCAAAATTATTAGCAAATTAATGACTTTGGATTATGAAAGATAGATATGTTGGAATAATTGGATATTTATATTAATACCATTAATATCTACAACATTTGTTTATATTGTACGATTATGAAGCATTTCTAAAGTATTATTCTAACAGTACTGTACCCTTTGCTTATTTTAGTGCGAGAAATTATTTTTGTTAGTGCAATATTATTCAATTTACAGTACTTCGTGAAACATTTAGCAACACGGCTACGGAAGATCTCGATTAAAACGTTTAATAATAGATCTTCGATAGTCGTCTTGCATTAATTATTGTCAAACTGCCATTATGCAATTTTTAGTCAACATTAGTTATGATAGTGAGTCTGTTAATAATTATTGACGAATGTAAGTATAACTTTGCGATAAATCGAGTAACAGGAACAAATTTTTCTTAGAGTTGGAGATTATTTATAGTTTTGCCGTGTAATTCGATTAGATTATCATTAGCTTCCGTTATCATAAAATACACGAAACACACATATGTGAAAGAAAATGTATAAAAGTAAATAATGTCCAATTTTCATAGAATTATTGTTCGACGTCTTCTTTTAATTATTAGTATCTGGGGATGGTTGCGGGACTTGTATGCAATATTCTGACTGTATAACGCGATATTTCGTATATTTATTAACTTGCATAGAAAATATTCATGAAAGACGGATCGTCATGAAAATATCATAAAGAAATGTAGAAACTTGCTAAATGACAGCTAATTTTTCTTAGGATACATTAGAAATGTTCACGCGCAATGTACATGCGTTTTGTACATACCTTGACAAATAGCTCCTCGTGAGAAACCAATATTTTCTCACAGATTTTAATGCATTTATCATGATATTTATGGCGTATAAATAAATTAGGATAATTAATACTTGTTCATTTAATTCTACGCTTTCGTTCGCGTGTTCACATCTGATCTCTGAAATTTGTATTAATAAATAGCGCGAAGGGGGAATCAATAATATATATTTTACTTTTCTGTCCTCCCACATCACGACTTTTCATAGCTTATAATTTTAGAGTTTCAGTACAGTGAATATCGGAACACAGGGTTCATTGGACGATGCCTCGTATCAGTGCTGTCCGTCAGTTTCTGTCTATATCTATTTGTGGTTTTAGAATGTGGAAACATAAAACGTGTTGAAACAAGTCGATGTCGATATATTGAATTCGCTGGAAAGGATAAAATTACATTTTAACTTTTCTTGTGCTGATGGCCCGACATTGTTATACAGTTCATACTTTTGTTAGTACTGTAACTGTGTGAATCTATATACGGTATTAACTTGATGTTATAATAGTGTTTTGGTTTTAAATATTTCAGTAAACAGTTCCAATATGGAATATCATAATTTCCCGAACTTCCACCGGTAAAAAGTACCATTGTCGTTGATGAACATCAAGCCGCTATTTAATAGCAGGTTTTGAAATGCCATGCCAAATTTCGTTTGCAGTATCTGTAAAAATATTTCTTTATTAGAAAAAATTAATATAAACGAAAAAGTACAAGAAATTCTCATCTCTATTGTAATCTTTATAGGAAAAAGGGAAAATGGATAAGAAACAATTATAAATTTATTAAAGTACAATATGTTGAAAGTTTCTCTTACCTTGAAAAGCTTTCCTTTCGTTTCTTTTCTTTGCCCGTACACAGATTTTTTACAGACGCTATTGATCTTCCTTCTCTCGAAGTACGAATATTTTTCAGTTTAATGACATATTATATGTATAAAAAGAAACTTCATACCAATTCGAAATTTGAAGCAAAACCGCCACGCTCGCGGTTACTATCTCCTTCTCCATTGATTTCTGATTTATAAAACGTACCGTACGCACTACACCATCCTAATATTCTCCCGGTAATGTAATCGACGACCGCACCTACCGACGCCCTGGACCTCTTCTTCCTCCTTTTTATTTGACGTCTGTTCCTATCTTCAATGAATCAATACAGCTGTATCTGATCCCGGAGATCTCATCTGCCCCAGTAACAGGCAATAGCACGCAGGGGTTGAATGACGGGGATGGCCGGGAACACAGACTTTTGTATAACGCACAAGGGAATGAATGAAACAGAGTCCCTCATTTTCCTCCCACAGAGAAGTAAAAGGCTCTGATTGGTTTTCCTTTATCAAAGTGCTCTCAGAATTTTTATTTTTATATTCAAATTTAGTGCTTCATTATTTATGACAATAAAAATTGTTTAGCAAGGAAAATGAGCCAACGGCACACGATACTATTTTCCCTACTGGAATCCTTACGAGAGCCAATCAGGATTTAAAGCCTCC